AAAACAAAACAAAGCAGACTGTGTCCTTCAGGTCTGCTGTCAACCTCTGACCTCGGTGAGGATGAAGGTGACCAGGTGAGCACAGCACTGGCCACACTGTCACTGAGCAATGCCACTGTGTGTGATTCTAACTGTATGCAATACACATTGACATTTATTTCTAACAGAAAAAAAGGAATCCATGGAACACAATTATGGAAGCAATATTGAAAGAAGACTGGACAACTATGATGTTAACATTTATTTTTAGCAAACAGAAACATTTATTTACAAATTGTAAAAACAGCTCAAAACCTGCAATTCTGCAATCTAGTTATTCCAGTTCTTTTTCTTTTTTAAAGATTTATTTACTTTATGTAAGTACACTGTCGCTGTCTTCAGACATACCAGAAGAGGGCATCAGATCTCATTACAGATGGTTGTGAGCCACCATGTAGTTGCTGGGAATTGAACTCAGGATCTCTGGAAGAGTGTCAGTGTTCTTAACCACTGAGCCACCTCTCCAGCCCTAGTTATTCAATTTCTTAAAACAAAATGGAGTAGTGGTTTTGAAGTGAACCAATATATATATTCTTTAATTTTTAAAAACAAGGTCTTCAAATATACAGCAATCCACAACTTCCCAGATGCAGGACAGCAGGTATGAGACCCCATACAAGGTTCTGATACACAATCTTAATGATCACTTAACTTAGTCACAGTGATAAGATCTCCCAAATGAGTAAGACACCATACCGGACTGCCAGTCACATGCCTGAAACAAACCAAGTCTTTAGTAATACTCTCATTTATGTTTTACAATACACTAAAAGATATATTTACTACTATTGTCACTATTACTAAAAATAACAAATATAACAATTTAGTAGTTGATAAGATTATATATATATATATCCTTACTCTTTTGGGGTCCTTATTGTAACTAAAATAAGTGATCATTAAGAATACACATACACACATCTCCATAAAAAGCTGAAGTGTTCAGGTCATGATACTAGTTATCTAGGGTCTAGTAATAAGACTTCAGGTGGCCGGGCGGTGGTGGCGCACGCCTTTAATCCCAGTACTTGGGAGGCAGAGACAGGCGGATTTCTGAGTTCGAGGCCAGCCTGGTCTACAGAGTGAGTTCCAGGACAGCCAGGACTACACAGAAAAACCCCTTCCCGAAAAACCAGTTATCTAGGGTCTAGTAAAAAGACTTCAGGAAAGCCAACCCTTGTCTATTTTCCCATGGTTTCATGGGACACTATAACACAGCATGTATCTCACAGCAATTAACAGAATAAACACTGATATACTTCAGTGGATGCTCTATCCTTACCAAGTTTCTTTTCATGAAAAAAATTTTATTTTCACATTTTGTGTTTGTGTATGTGCCTGGGCCTCTACATGCTACAACCTATGTGTGGAAGTCAGAGGGCACATTGTATGAATGTGGGTGCATGGAATTGGATTCAAATGCTCAGGCTTGTTGACAAGGACTACTCCCCGCTGGCCCACGTTGCCTACTTCATCTTTCTCACACTGGCTTGAGGCAGTGTTTGGAATTAAGCACATCCATTAAGTATACTAGTCATGCCGGGACTGCTGACATGTTTAGAACCATGACTGGAGCTCAGATACTCTGGATACAGTGTCTACGTACTTTCTTTCATTCTCCCCCCAACCCCCGTTCTCTCTAACATGGTTTAGGACATCAAAGCTCTTCAAAAATGTGGAATGCTTCATAAATTTGCATGTCATCCTTGAGCAGGGATCATATTAATATTCTAGTATCATTCTACTACACATGATGCCTGAGTGAGGACATAGTCTCTACTTTCAGTGTGTCTCACTGTGCTGCTTCTCCTTCATTCTTTGATGAAGAAGCATCCTGGGAAAACTGGCCTACAGCTAATGGTGCATTTCATAACCAGAGACTTTTATATATAATTTTCAGAACAAACAAACAAGTTGTTGAAGAACTTTATTTAATCCTCTTTCATTGATCGGTAGAATGATGTTACAGAGACATGACAGAGCTGAGGTAAGTAGCTCAGTGGTGGAGCACCTCCTCACCATGCA